TAGAATTTACAAGAAAAGCCCTAAATTCATTTTTCGTTTTTCTTTCTGTAGCTCTGAGGTGACAATGAACATGTAGGGCTTTTCTTGTAAATTCTATAACTTTGCAAAGAAAGATCGTGTAGAGCTGGAAGATGTCTCGTTTTAATCAGAAATTTATGGACTACAATTACGTCTCATTAAGAAAGCTTTTGGTTGTTCTTTAGAGTTTCTCAAAAACTGGTTTTCCAGAAAATCGATCTTTGAAGGCCTAGCAGCAGCATTCATGGTGATATTCGGAATCAGCATCGTCGACTACCTATAGTCCACTCGGTTTCGTTGAAAAAGCGATTTATCAGTTGCGGTACTTCCCTCGTGAGTTCAACACTAACCCTTTATCCTATATATTCAGGTTTAAACAGCAATGCACCATGGTATAATCTAAAAATAATTTTAAATATCACGTGTATGAAAAATGCTGATATAAAACAAATTATGATCCATCACCAAAAAGACTCACTTAATTTTCATCACATATCACTCGTAGTAGGTAGAATACATATTTCTTTAGTAACATACTAAAAAGTTAAAAATATTTGTCTTTCAATAGACTCCTTACATGCGAAATGACGAATTAGTACACGCATTTATCGAGATAACTGCTTTGACAGAATCAGTGAATGACCAATATTATTTGTCACCTTATCTGATAAGTAGTATGGAGTCGAAATCAAATGGTAAAAATCCTATACATGTGCCAATTATTGGAAACAAACTTGAATACAATATTCAAAAATTATCAGTTAAATATAACAAAGAATTGGTAAAAAATTGTGAAAATTTAGAACCATTCAAAATTGATGAAGAAAATGTTAATGAAGAAAATAAAGAGCACATTGGTAAGAAGATGCCAAATTTTCTTGAGGAAAATAGATAAAACATGAAATGATAATCAAACCAGATATTTTTATTCTAGACGATTCTAGAATTGAATTTATTCAAAACGTTCGACTTCATCAACGAGAGCAGTATATATCAGAGCTGAAGTCGTATGTAATATAATAAAGTAACGGGTAGTCCAGATTTAATTACCGGTCTTTGCAAGGCTTCTTGCTCAGATTAAGCTTGATCAAAAAAATTTTGTTTGGATCCTAAAAGTTAGAGAATTTTGCGTAGATTTTAGTCATATATTCCATTTGAAATAAATCTTTGCCATTTTTCTACAGCATTAGAAATGCTGGGAGCCATAAAAAAGCAGAGTTGCACAGCACTTTGTATACAATAAAGTGTAATTTTTAGTATTCAAACTGATTTTGTTGCGCGATTCAAACAAGACATTAAAAACTAGAATTAAATCTTAATATTTCAGGTACAAAACTAAATTTTGGGATGATGTTTAACTGTCATTGAAATCGGTTACAAAATACGTCTCTTTATCTGACTTTTGGCGCCTTCCATTTGGATAAGTAAATATCGCAAATTCGTCATTTATTACCACAGATAGTAAACTCATGGAAAGGATGACATTTGCTAGACTTTGAAATTTTGCATCTGTTCATATTAAAAAAATAACTTTTCTTCGTGAATTTTTTGCAAAACACCGCCAAAACTCTCTTATTGGTAAGATGTTTTTCGATGTTTTGGATATTCGAAAGCAGAAACAAATAAATCTATAGGAACAAACATACCTTCAGATACACCGAGAAATTCTGCATCTTTTGTTACTAGAACCAAATTTTCACACTTATCTAATTGAACACAAATTTGTATTCAAAACTTTCTAATTCTTCAGCTGAGCAATCCTGTTTTTCATGGCTTTCAGCATTTCTAGTGCTGTAGAAAAATGGCAAAGATTTATTTCAAAAGGAATATATGACTAAAATCTACGCAACATTCTAGGATCCAAACAAAATTTTTTAATCAAGTTTAACCTGAAAAAAAAGCTTTGTAAAGACCGGCAATTAAATCTGGATCACCCGATATGTGAAATAAATTATTCAATTGTTTATTTTTCTATTAAGTAAAACTGAACGTCATTATCTCACATTGACTCAAGCCTTAAAACTAAACAATTCAGGACTGGCTAGTCATCCAGTTATTCGGGTAAGAAAAAATCGATAATATGCACATTCATTTTTACAAGTACGTAGAGTATTAGTAGTCTTGTATTAGTAGAAATGTATTACGGAAACAACAACTGTGATCTGATTCAAAAACTATACTGCCGTTCGCGACGTGTTGCCGCAACAGTTGTCAAACTAGGACAATCAAGATTTTCCTTCATTCTCTTTTCGTCGTTAATACGAAATATGTTTTGGCAAAACCACAACAAATTCTTGTTAAGCGTTCTGACTGTTAAGTCATTCTCGATCTTCCATGCCTTTCAAAAAGTCGCCTCTGTGCTGTCAAAGCGACAATATTCTTTTATAAAACGAAATCAATCGCCACCATTGCAACATCTACGTTGAGTGAGACTTTTTAGAAACTGCTAGAGCGATGCTGAGAAGTATCGATTCTGTGATATGATAGCGCTCGTTTGGGCCCTTAATAAAACTGTCATAACTATAGCTTTGATCATTATAATGATCAAAGTATCGTTCAAAGTCGGAAGTCATCATATTATTAGACATTTCGGGCTATCAAACCATGTGCTAAGCTCAGCATCGACTTATAATGAAAATTATTCCTTTTGAGGGAGGGGAAGCGATCAGCTAAAAATAGACGGAAGAGAGAGTCAATGTACGAAAACTTTCGTCACATATAAACAACGTTATGCGATGGGGATAGAATCGATCCTATTATGTATCTACACCGATATTTATGTGTGACGAAAGTTCATTGTACTTTGCAACGCTTTATTCTCATGTTACGCTGTATGACGAAAGTTTAGCAGGAAGTAATCAGCATTGATCTTTCTCTATAGATTCCACAAAAATATCGAACGCTGATTAATCAAGAAGAGTGTGTGATGTTATATGTGGGTGTTATGGTGAAAGTGAACGAAAAATTATATTTTCATCCAAAAAAAGGGTTCACTGACGATTCTGTCGAGGATGAAATACAAATTGTTAATCCAACAAAAATCTTACTAACGAAAGAAAATGTTTCAGACGATACTTTCGAGTATGTGTTGTTAACAGCTAAAAGGTTTAGAATAATTCGATATTAAAATGAACCTTTATTTTCAGGTTAAAATTAGCAGTTGTCAACTTACGCACATCGAACAAAATAAAAAAATCATTTTCATCACTAAACAAAATCTTTAGTCATACAGTAGTCCATAAATATAATCTCGACAATAATTTTCATGAGGAATTTAATGTTTTTAAATCTAACGAATCGATTTCAAAAGACGATCGTCGTGATTATTATTTCTTATGTATTATTGGTTACAAGAACAAGATTGACTGGAAAACGCAATGTTTATCGAGCAAAATGACTAAAAGTGAGCAAAAGTTTTCCGATAGATAGTATAAACTCAGCTAAATAAAACTGTAATTGTTTTTAGCTGTAAAAGAAAATGAAAATCAATTATTTCAGATATATCAGTTGGACAAATTACATTTAGCATTTACATTGTGTACCAGACAGACCAACAACAATTCAAATTACCGCCGACATACAGAAACAACCGTGATCTCAGATCAAATCATTTACCAAGGTGTGTTATCAAGATAATTTAAAATCGGCAGTGATATGTTTCTAGTATTTTGAAGAGAACACAAATGTAGAAGATTTTCATCTACAAAGGGACGACAATAATGTTAGTACGAACATAAAAGGTAATTTACAATTAGGACTGTAAAAGTTACCGTTACTTCTTTGGCCGTTATTGACAACGGTAATTGACTTTTCAGTTACCGTTGTTCAACGGTAACTACGTTTCCAGTTACTGTTGAAATAACGGTTACTACCAGTTAGTTAACTTTGTGGTAACTATTTTTTAAGTATGGCAGAAATATCCAGGCAGCGGCTTAAAATGGCTTCTAAATAGTGGCGTAACCAGGAGTGGGCTAGACCGGTTGCCCACCGGCAATCTTTGCCCGGGCACCGGGAGAAACAAAAAAGAATTATTTCCACTAAGACTTTTGTCGAATAATGTTGAAATAACTATTATTTGTTTATTTATTTCATTTTCTCTTTCTCTTTTGTTCACATAATTTCACTTAATAAAAGTGCAGATACAGTGTCTTGTCTCTCTCTTAAAAAAGTGAGAATTGAGCAACTGTATTTCAGTTGTGGAAAACATTTAAACTATCGTGGATGGGTTTTTTTAAAGGTCGTGGGACACTGCCCTACCGCCCACGGACTCCTGAATCGTTAGTTGTCCACTAAAACTGTTGAAACTTTCATAAATGGCATGGTTTTGTAGTCTAATTTTGTTGATGATAACAAAAAGATTTCTCAAGCTGGCTGTAGATGCTGAGGTCTCCAGAGACCTTAAAAATCGTAGTTACAAAACATTGAAATTATATAATTTCGATTAATTCGGTCGACTGCACATGTGTGCCAATCAAAATCATGTCATTTATGAAAGTTTCAACAGTTTTAGTGGAAAACTAATGATTTTGGAAGGCATTTTAAGCCTCTGCCTGGATATTTCTGCCATAATTAAGAAATAGTTACCACAAAGTTACCTAACTGATAGTCTTCAACGGTAACTGGAAAAGCAGTTACCGTTAAAACAACGGTAACTGTGTTGTCAGTTAGCGTTAAATCAACGCAACGGGAACTTTTACAGTCCTATTTACAATAAATATATTTTCGATACATCTCATCACCAATATTATTCTTGTTCAACAGGCCTGTTAGCGGATAAGAAAATTCTGAATCCTGTTCAGATATTAATACAACCGGCAACTATTCAACGTCCAAGAACATATATGGAGCAGCTCAAACAACCACGTTATATTCAAGGTTCCAATGAGAATTCAAGACCAACGACAGAAGTGAGTAAAGCTAATTTAACAAACTGATAATACAAACAAATAGCGTTATTTTTGAAGATTGATCAACATTGGCTTCAGTTATACATGGAAATTAAGCTTGTGAAAGGTGATAAAGCAGAACAAAATTTCTATAAACTAAATCCAGCACGTTCGGACGAAAGAAACAAATTGGTCATATCCGATCAAAACACTGGCTCTTTGTTATTCAAGATAACGGAAGAAGATGTTCATAGGAAATCAAAATCGTATGTAGAAAAATTCCTGCTTATTCTTAGTGACAATTTCTGTATCATAATCATCAGAATATCTCACTTCTTCTCCTTTGTGTGATATTGTTGTTTATTGTGATTATAACGTTGTATAGAGAGAAGTCTTTGAGTTACGTTCATCATGTACGCTAGATAAGAACACTGCCTAAACGTGGAACTTTTGCAATGGCAAATAAACGGTGTGCATCTAGGCATGCACCAATACCAATCATTATTGAAGTTATTGTACAATATTCTTGGGTATCCAATAATATTCGGATCTAATATTATTGTATACCCAATATATTGGGACCAATAATACTGTACAATAATATTGGGTTCCACAATACACTGGATTCCACCTTTTAACCCTAATACCATTTACATTCATAATAACGTAAGGAAACATATCTCAATCGGGATATATATCCTGATCAAGCTATATATCCCAATTGGGGTATACAAATGTATCCCGATCAGGATTAGGCATATATCGATTTATAATCGATATTAATGCATTCAGCAAAGTCGTTCCAAATCAGGTATAAAAAAGCACATAGAGCTGCCGAATATCTCATTATGTAGAAAACTGTTTGCTCTACCAAACTGAAGTGCCAGAAAAAATTTTAGTGTTATCTGTGACAGAAATATAAGCATCCAAAACTGATCAGAACTGCGAATAAATAATCGATAATCGATTATTTTTCTGCGATTTTAGTGCGTTTTCGATTTATCATATTTTCTCTATATATAACATTTAAATTTTCTGGCACTTCAGTTTGGTAGAGCAAACAGTTTTCTACATAATGAGATATTCGGCAGCTCTATATGCTTTTTTATAACTGATTTGGAACGACTTTGCTGAATGCCTTAATATCGATTATAAATCGGTGCATGCCTAATTGGGTTATATTTTGATGCAAAACGGGATGTAGAGCATGCGTCTGTACCGTAAAAGTAGACTGAACCCAAGCTGCTCAATACTCAATAATATTGTAAAAACCCAATACGTTGGGATGACCAATATTATTGGTCCCAATATATAGTATTGGTGTATGCTTATGTACAACAGCTGGCTGTTATTAGTAACTTTCGAGGTATGCTAAGGGCCTGTTTATTTATTGCTCGATATTGTTAAAAAACAGTAAATTGTCATTCTTTTCATATTTTTAGTTCTTGCATTCTATAGTGTCATCACTACCGCCTAGATATGCACCAGTTTTTAACTGGTATTGGGGCATCCAGAAGAATTCCTATCTATCGGTTATCACGATTTACTCAGAGCCGCGAAACCTCTTATTTTGTAGAAAAATGTTTGCTCTACAAAATGTATTTGTTAAAAAATTTCCAAAATCATTTCTAAGAAAACTTAGAGCATTCGAAAATACATTAAACCACGGAAAAAAAACTGTTCGAACAGGTTTTTTTTCTTGATTTTGTGCATTTTAGAATGTTCTAAATTTTCTTAGAAATGATCTTGGAAATTTTTTAACAAATACATTTTGTAGAGCAAACATTTTTCTACAAAATAAAATGTTTTACGGCTCTGAGCGAATTGTGATAACTGATGTATAGCAGTTCTTCCGGATGCTCCAACACCAGTTAAAAACTGATGCATACCTACTATCACCACTTCAACAGTAGAAGTTGCTTTCTCGAAATGTTTCGCTTATTTTCGCTTATTTTCTCGACACGTATCGATTATTTTCGAATTTTCGGACAAAGCAGCGGTGTTTGCCACTGATAACTGCGTAATAAAAGAATAAATGAAACGGACAGCGTTTAAATTTTAAAGTGATAATTTGTTCCATTATTTTCTTAAAGATCTAAAGAATGATTGTTAACTAGTAGTTAACTACGGTATTTATATATGGGATGAATTCAGCATGAAGTCATTTGTTTATGCTGCATTATCTAATAAGGAACAGTTCGTATCAGGTACTATTAAGTGCACTAATAACTAGTTTAAAAATCCATATTTTAATAAAGTAGGAGCTACGAGCTACAAAGTTTTCACTTCACTTTCTGTATTTTATACAATTTTTATTATATGCAGTTTAGGAATCTATATTTTATTAAAATAGGAGCTACAAGCTCGTTTTCCAAACTGAGATCACTTTTCAAAATTAATAGAATATGCTATTTCCAAACTGAGATCATTTTTATTTCTTTAATTATAAAAAGTGATCTCAGTTAAGAAGCCTCGACATTTTTCACTAATGAATAATTGTTAATTGTCTCTTTTCCGCTGTCGTCAATAATCATATAATCAAAAAAATATGACGTGACTGCTCTTAAAGAGTCATAAAATATGACTTTCATGAAAATATGAACTGGAAGCTTTTTAATAGTCATTTGCTTGATAAACGCCAGTTTATCGGCTTACGTTTAAGAAGTATCTCATAGGTTATTAAATGTAATTATATCGAGTTTGATTGGTGAAACGTTCTATAAAGAAAATTTAAAATATCTTGGTTTCGTTTACTCAAGATCTCGAGATTTCTCTGCCCAGGATCTTACTCAAGATCTAGAGCATCAGACATTTCATCATGGAAGTGGTTCATTATTCTATTTAGATACAAACTAGCAAGAATTCTACAAGTGAAAAAAACTTCAAATCAATTGGACGAGTTACGACTGTGTTTTACGCTTAAAAACAAAATTGCTGTTGATTTATACGAATCGATCAGTATATCAGCTTATTCTGATATCATGAGAGACAGTAGGTGAGAGACAAAGGGCAGTAGTTCATTTTTTTGAATTGTCCACCTCTTTTCTAGGTTATGGGCAGTTAAAACTGAAATCTCTTTCGCCCGAATATGGATGCTGTTATGGTGGTCAATGGATGAAAATTGAATTTACCAATGGTCGCGTTAGAAAAAATGGTAATGAGCAGAGTAGGAACAATCACATTCTGATCTTGAAACATTGTTTGATCTTCTTAGCGTTGAGGATTGTCTTCCAGCAAAATGATGAATGGACACAAGAAGTAAAAAAATTCAGGTCAATCAAAAGTGGTATTGGTGTAGAATTTGAGCTACCTCAATATAAAATTGTACCGTTAACAGAAAAAGCTCAACTCGAGATAGTCATTTCACGACTCAATGAACAAGATATTCATCACACATTTATGTACCTACCTCATGAGGGTATGAAAGAGAAGTTAGACAGCTTGTCAACTCGTTTCTATCATTTACCTAAAATTTCTATTTTTGATAGACGTATCAGCAGTGGATCCCAATCATAAATGCAGTTTCGAGAAACCTACCAGTTTGAAAAAGAGATGCAAAGTAAAGTTCTCTTTAACTTAAAGACATCTTTTTTTTTATTATTCATATTAAAATATGTTTAGATGATCTTTCATACCACGTTCGGAAGAAGTGATGCTGACTTCGATAAAGGCACGGATGAAACAAGTTACATATGATGAATAGATGAACTCTGGCTATACAAAGACAATAAGAAAACTGACTAATCCGTTTTTTAGTATTTACATTATTTAAGCTGAGAAAAGCATGAAAAATAAACTAGAGAGAAATTTAGAACCATTTCGACGGGTTATCTGTGAACTTTCCGATTTCTCACTTTAATTTTATTTTATGATACGTGGAAGACGAAGATGTTCACTGTGCTATGGAGTCATTTTGTTCATCGAACATTTTATTAATCCATTATCGGAAAAAAAACTCACTCTAAAATTCTTGAAACATGTCAGATTAGAAAGGTACCATTTTCGTACCCGTACCTAACCTGAAAATTTGTTTTCCACCCGTACCCGATCCGAAACTTTGTATCCAGCACTCGCCTAAAAATTTTCTCCGTTTCGTTTTTCAGCTAAAAGTTTTTGTTTTTCGGCTGAAGATGTCAAATTACGATTCTCGAAACGTTCTCAAATAGTTCTTTTTAAATCTTCATGCATTTTAGCTAAACTCTTGCATTTTTTCACTACAATTTTGTGGGTTTCCACTAGAACCTCCCGGTTTTCGGGTAAATTAAAAAAAATAGAACCCGTACCCGGCAACTTCGTACCCGTACCCAACTTTCGGGTCGAGTTGCACATCTCAATGTCAGATATATACAAAAATGGTTTCCCTATCAGAAAGGATTCTCAGAAAATCCTTGTTGCTCTCTGAAGTAAACGTACAATTACTTCACGAAACAGGAATATGAGACCGCAGAAGTTAAGTCCACCAATGTCCTTTCTGACGGTTCAGTTCAGCTCAAACAGCCAAATGAGTTCTCAGGGGTACAGGATAAGTGAACTAATGAAAAATGAGACGCTTTTTATTTCAACTAAGTGATTTAATTTGTAACTAAGATAATGAAATATTTCAATACTAAAACAGTTTCAATTTTCTAATAAAAGAAGCCTTTTTCTATCAGGTTAGGTATCGTTGAGTAGTTCTGTGAAAAACTGCGCTATAGGAGGTTTGTCAAAAGCTTTCGCCCCATAGTGGAATTCTGTTAGGGACGGCCTTCTGTTATGAGAGCAGGTTTATCCATACTCGAGCACATGGTTCGATAGCCTCAAACATCTACTCTTAGAAGACATACTACTTTTGCCAATATTAAGGCTTTCTGAGAGTTTGTCAAACAGTATTCTTTAAGACTGATTTTTCTGATATACCATTATTTCAGTAAAATGCCAGAATCAAACAGTATTTGAGTGGTGCCAGATGCATAGCAAACATTCTGCAAAAGTATGATGTATCCTGCTGCAACCCAGTGAAGAAGAAATAGTGTGATCATAAGTTCACGCGTGGAAACCTCAAAAAAGCACGAGTTAATTTCTATCTTAATGCGTGATTTTTTGAATTTTTCACGCCTAAATTCCTAATTCAGCGGCTTAATTTCAGCTAATTTATACGATAAATGCTCAAAATTAATCAGTAATTTAGTCGTCAAATGACGTGAATTTCTTATGGGTGAAAACAAAATTTCACATTACCTTTGTCTACCTACTCTTATCTACACATTTACTCCTCTCATTTTTCTCGCGTGATTGACAAAAGATCTTGGATTTTCGTAGGTTTCAATCAGGGTATCTTCAATTTGATTTTTCAACATTTCCCTATATGAAGTCATCTTGCGTATTTTATGTCTAAATGCCTGCACTCAGACTATATTTATTCACAGAAAAGAAAAGTAAGAAACGGTAGAGAATGAAGCGACAGTATTGCTTCTAAGTTGCGTATGTAGTTCTAGTGTGGGATTGTAATTTAATTTTCGGCTCTGCGTTTTTTTCGTCTTGTCTTCTTCTTCTTTCGGTGAAACACTTTACAAATTTAATCATTCTTCTTCATATGAACTTTGAGCGCAACCGTAAAATTTATAATTATGTACAGGGTATTCCCAAAGTCCACTCGGAAAGAAAACATGAATACCTTTGTCATTTGTTAACTAAACTTCAAAGTTGTTTTTTGTTGAATAGAAAAATATGCTAAGTTTTATTGGATATGATTGGAAAAATTATTTTTGATGCATGAAAAAATGTTGAAGTTTATTAGCGTGAAACTCACATTTTTTGGTACTCTATCTTAATAAACTACGTACTGGAAAACTTTACGAATGAAACAAAAATGATTCTTTGTAGTAACATAAAGTAGATGGTGCTTGCTGTAATAGTAAAAGGTTTTGGTCAGTTATAAAAAAGTATCGCGATCCTGTTGCAGATTTACCATCTTCTATGCAATATAATTCGTCTACAGCTAGTGATGATTCTTCTAAAGTCGAGTTATTATCTATTTTCTTTCAGACTAGTTTTTCACAACTCTCTTCACTTACCACGACTAATTTTCAACTTCCTTTATCCTCTCAATCTCTGTCCACAATTAAATTTGATGTTTCTATGTGTTTAAAGCTATAAGTAGTTTAAAAAATAAAGCTTCTTTAGCCGCCGATCAAATTCCTATCAAACTTTTAAAGCTTAGTGCCGATGTAATTTCTCCTCAGTTATATCATATCTTCGCTCTTTTACTTTCGACCGGTGTGTTTCCTCTTGCCTCGAAAGAAGCTATTATATGCGCCATATATAAGAAAGAAAGCAAGTTACTCGTCAAAAACTATCGTGATATTTCACTGTTGTCTAATGTTAGTAAAGTGTTCGAGAAGCTGATTTACAAGCATTTATACTCATTTCTAAGCACAAAAAACTTTTTTAACCCAACTCAGTTTGGCTTTCGTCCAAGTACTTCAACCGTAGATGCGATTCTTCTTCTCACTCAAAAGGTTTACCAGCATCTGGAAAAAAAGTGCAAATTGATTGGCATATCATTTGATTTTGAAAAGGCATTGGACACTGTATCACATCATATTTTACTACAAAAACTGGCTAAAGCAGGAGTAGTCGGAAGTCTTTTGAAATGGTTCACTTCTTATCTTTCAAATCGTACACAAAAAGTTTCTGTAGGCTCTGTTTTTACTTCTTCTGCTCGAGTGTCGTCTGGAGTTCCACAAGGCAGTATTCTTTGCCCGATTTTATTTCTCATATTTATAAATGATCTTGCACCATTTCTCAAATCTTCGCTTCTTTCTTGTCTGTTTGCTGGTAGTAGGATCCTTTCACAAGATTTTAGTAGTTCTTCTTCTTCTCTACTCAAACAATTTAAAATTCAACCGCTTTCAAACAGAGTTCTCGATCAGGCCATGATAGTCGCGTGTTAATTCTTCGTTTAATATCAAAATCTGCATCTAGCCCTTTTCTTCCGCGAACATCAAAAGATTGAAATGAACTACCTTCTCTTTTAGCCTGTCAAACTTCTTTAGCCACATTTAAAAATATGCTGAGAGGTTACACAGGCCTTTAATAATGCTATTTTGTTTACTTTTTTATATTTTTAAATTTTTAGTTTTAGGTTATCACAGGGTATCCACGGATACCACAAATCTTTTGTTCTTTTTTGTGATATCCTACTCTTGAGTAAAAATAAATGTTATCTTATCTTATCTAGTCTTTATTCACTATTATAGATACTTACACAGAAAACATGCGTTGCAAATTTTATTATTTTTCCACACTGACCTTTTTACACAAAAATTTCGAATCATATCAAATAAAACTTGGAACATTCCCCCCAGATCAAACAAATCTTATACGATCGTATCTGAATCAGACAAAATCGTATGAAAATCATACAGAATCGTGGTATCGGATTTGTCACCTGGTTCGTACTGTACGGTTTCATACGAAGTCGTATGATCGTATATGATCATACGACTTCGTATGAAACCGTACAATACGAACCAGGTGACAAATCAGATACTACGATTCGTATGTAAATCGTACATATAACTGTATATGCTTTCGTACAATTCGTGTACGATCGGATAGTACGATTCAATCACCTGGACCTCTATCCAACAGAAAAGCAACTTTGAAGTTTAGTTAACAAATGACAAAGGTATTCATGTTTTCTTTCCGAGTGGACTTTGGGAATACCCTGTACATAATTATAAATTTTACGATTTGCGCTTAAAGTTCATATGAAGAAGAATGATTAAATTTGTAGAGTGTTTCACCGAAAGAACAAGAAGACAAGACGAAAAAAACGCAGAGTCGAAAATTAAAATACATCCCACACTAGAACTACATACGCAACTTGGAAGCAATACTGCTTCATTCTCTACCGTTTCTTACTTTTCTTTTTTCGTTTCTGTAAATAAATCGAAAAACACAGGAAGCCTTAGCGGTAAAAACTTCGACGGCATCCTTTAGTATGTTTAATATTTATTTCATGCAAAAAATAAGAGTACAAGAATATAGTTAACATTTGGAGTCATTATAATAGTGAAAAAAAAATCAGCGCTGGTGTTCTTCGAAGTTCTTGTGCTTGATTGTTTTCTTCTTGAATGTGTAAGAGATGATTTTTTTTTCTTTTGTATCGTGTTGGCTACTATGAGTACTAATGAAACAAAGTACACAATGAGAAAAATAGAAAAAATTCCATTGTTCACCTTTTTTTTTTTCTGTGACCACGAATTTAGTCGAAAATGAGCAAGTTTTACAGCTATAGTCCGAGTGCAGACATTTATCAAATATTCGATCGTCATGAACGTCAATTACGAGAGCAGCACAAAAATTTGGTCGACGTCTTGTATGAATGGCAAACTCGACTTATTACTACAGTTCAGCAGCATGTTAAAGAAAAGATGAATGAACTCGGGACGCAATACAATCGCAGGCTAAATAAGATATTTGAAAAACGAACAGAGTTTCTGAATAAAGCCAATATTTATCATCTGAATAAAAATGATAAAGAAATAAAAAATTTGGTGAATAAATGTGAACTTTTAAAATTTGAATTAGCCAAACTAACGTATAAGCACCGTGAAGCTGTATTTCCAAATATACAAGTGATACAAACCGAATATGTAGAACAAGAGGATATCTCGTCTTTCATTATAGACTCTGCTGATTCTAACAGGCCTACGACATCTACAATGACTGATAAAAGACAAGCTTCATCGACGTCGAGAAAAGAAGAGAATGTGACAGAAAAACCGCAATCCGATTTTATCGTCGATGATAACGCGCAGGTAAGAATGACGACTAATCAACGAAACGTTGATTCTTATGGCTATACTGTTAGTGAATTTTTTATTTCAAGTTGACCGATGACAGCTACAACTACTGGTAAACACAAGCGACAGTCGTCATCAAAATCAACAAAGATGGAAGTACGATAAGAATTCCACCAGAATTATATCAATCGGATTTGATCGATACTGCCTGAGATTACAGCAGCTAACGAAATACACTTGAATGGAAAACTGAATGATGATGTCGAGAAAAAGCAGTGAACATAACATGAATGTTGTTCTGATTGATCTGTATCTCTTGTTTAGTCTTTTTTGTTCATTATCTGGTGATCAGTACGACATGGAGGTATGAAGAAAGAGAATTTTATCTTATTACACTGGAGCACAATATTCTTTTGATCAAGTTTTCATTAAAATCAGCACACATAAATGTTTTTCTTGTTCTGTTGGCATGAATTTCAGTTCAAAGAATCAGACAAAGAATATCAACATAGAAAAAAGAAATTCAGCGCTGTCTACTGCTGTATTTTCTTATAATTCTGAAAAGAAGATTTATTAGTAGTAGATCTTTATTTCAGATAATGTTGTAGATATCACTTATTTTAAATAAGCAGCTCCTTCTACGCTCATAGTCTATGTTATGAATTCAGTCTTGGCTATTGAACAGCGAAAATCGCAGGTCTCTATCTCATTTCTATCAAACGTTATTCAAAAAATGCCCACGGGTCTTGTATTTTGGGATGGATAGTAGACCAGAAACTAGTTTCAGAACATTTCTGACATCAAATGTTAAGAACGTTTTATGTTAAATACAGGCCACCAATGAAAAGCTGAATTTCGTACTGTCTTTGATTCTGTTGATGGATTCGGGCCTACTGACTATATAAAGACAATTAATTTGAAACTGAATGTTTGCTACAAAATTTTCTTACTTCTTGGACTGCCTACTGACGAGGGAACATATCCAACTGTCAAATCGCTTTTCTAACGAAATGCGGTAGCTTATAGGTAATCGATCATGCTGATTCCGAATATGATAGCCGTTTTGGCTAATAGGCCTTTCCTAATCGGTTTCTGGAAAACCAGTTTTCCAGAAACCTCGAAAAATCCCCAAGAATTGTCTGATTAAGTCATAACTGTAGCCTGCGAAATTCTGATTAAAATGAGACATCTCCCAGCTCTACACGATCTTTCTTTGAAAGTTATGGAATTTACACGAAAAGCCCTAAATGTTTATTGTCACCTCAAAGCTACAGAAAGAAGAAGGAAAGATGAATTTAGGCTTTTCGTGTAAATTCCATAACTTTGCAAAGAAAGATCGTGTAGAGCTGGGAGATGTCTCATTTTAACCAGAATTTCGCGGGCTACAGTTATGACTTAATCAGACAATTCTTGGGGATTTTTCGAGGTTTCTGGAAAACTGGTTTCCCAGAAACCGATTAGGAAAGGCCTATTAGCCAAAACGGCTATCATATTCGGAATCAGCATGATCGATTACCTATAAGCTGCCGCATTTCGTTAGAAAAGCAATTTGACAGTTGGATATGTTCCCTCGTGAGTAGTTTTCAATGTCTGTCTTAACGGATTACGCTCTCGGTAGAGTAATAGTAAAACATGAAGACATCCACAGACACCTACAAACACTTACAGACACCAACAGACAGCACACAGACACCTACAGACAGCCGCAGACATCTACACAGACATCACATAGTCATTCATAGACACCCACTTCTGCAGACATTCAACTACGTAGACAGCCACGAAATTACACAGACACGCAGCAAATTACACAAACAGCCAAATCAACCTACAGACAGCACACAGACATCCACACAGAGCGCAGAGACATCCACTGAATTACACAGACAGCCAAATCAATCAGTAGACACCCACAGATATTCCCATATATATTCGTAATAATCTCTAAACCATTCTACAAAGCCATCTGGTGCATGATCATCCCATAAACCGTGCAAATTTTCAAATAGCAAATCATAATGTTCATCACTTTCAGCAGATATTAAACTATCTTTGTCATAAAATATTGAACTAATAATTTTATCTCGATCACGTTCAGATGAGTTCATTTCTTTTAATTTGCGTTCAATATTTTTTAAAACGTGTCTTGTACACAATAAATGTGTTGTTGTTGACAAATGTGTATTAATGGCTTTCATAATAGCTCCGTCACCATCACTACCAATAGCTATTCATTTTTTTCCAGCAGTGTTTGTCACATCTTGTATATATAACAACAAATGTTTCAAATGCTTCAAAATTTTTATTATAAATAATTAAAACTGGGCCGGACATTAATGGATAATAACCAGTACGAACTTGTCCTACACATCGATTACGAAATGTTGTTGTAGGAGTGACGTAAAATATTCCTAAATCAAATATTGTATCAACTCCAAGTATTGAATTTTCTTCACAATCTGGATTACAGCAATTCTTAATCACTTCTTGAATTTGAAATGGATCACATAATAAAATCATTGGACTTTGTCCGCGTGTTGTTGTCATTGAAGCTATATAACCATCAGTCTGTGTACTAGTACGATTCATTAATTCAAAATACTGTTCGTGTAAAGATATATTAACAGTATTTTTCCGTGCATAATTGACTTGATCTTTATCTCTAATCATTTGTGTACTACTATTTGATTGTTGCTGTTCTCCATCTTGTAAACGCTGTGCATATGTTGTCGTTGGTTTGCCAGTTACTGCCGTAGCTTGAATTTCACGTAATGTAGTTGTTGTACGAGACTGAAACGGTTGAATATTTCGTTTAGCATTTGCATGTGGTTTCCGGTTGAACGTGTTGTATTATCAGCAATCCAAACATATTGAATGCATATAGGAAAATGATGTTCTTCATTATTTTTTATATTCTTACTAAACACCACTAAACGACGTAATTCAGGATTTGATTTATTCCTATAATAAGCACGTCCGACAGATATTATTTGATCATTTGTAACATGATGTTCAATATATTTATGTTCTTGCCTTGTACGATATGTCCATGTTTGATCAAAATTAATTCGTGTTACATTAAATATTTATGGAGATGATTCAACAAAATAATCGATTGATGAACCGCCTGCTAGCCAAGTGCCATTCTCATCTTTTCTACAATCCAAACGATTACTTTCACTATAATCAATAAGAAATATTCTATTATCAACAACACGTCTAATTCCTTGTTTTTATCTCCTTCGTCATCAAATTCCTGCAGGACACTTGTATTCTATAGAATTAATATTAGAACATTCTGTTTTGACGAAAAAAAAATGAACAAGCATTGATTCAGCTCGAAAGAACACTCTACAATTAAAAAATCTAAGACAGGGTCATTAAACAATAGAACCGAAAAAGAACGATCGCTGCCCACTACGGAGATGACTACATAAGAAAGTTTTACTGTAACTGCAGCTGCTATCTTTTACTTGGAAATAAATTATCACACAAGAACCTCGGACAAAAGTATAGTCACAACAAGAAATTTAGACAAGGTCGTGGAAGCTCGATCTCAGCTTAGGTGATGACTCATTACTGCTTTTGCTAGCGTAGAGTGGAGCGATCCGAACTATTTAATAAACCTTTATAAATCGAGAATATGCGCACTGATATGATTTTCGTTTTATTCTGACCTTTACGTTCTTAACAAAGTCCTGTTTAGTTACAGCTCAGCGAGCCTGATAGAAGACCATAATGGCTGCATTCATGCTAGTAAGATCAGCCAGTGAGTGTGCTTGTTTATTTACGTAGAAGCGTGGAGAACAGTAAAACGCAAAATTATTTTGCTTCTCTACGCGATCATGGTTTGCGAATAACTTTTACTGTTATTGTCAGCTTAGAATAAGAATACGAGCTCATAATTTTTTTTCATTTAGATTATAGTAATTAGATCAATAGGCATTCACTAGCTACTTGAGCCCGTAATCTTTTGATAACAGATTTCAATGAAATTAAAGTTTTCCAGTTGAATAAGGATCAAATGCGTTTTTATTTTCTGTTTCACTTTTTTTATGATCTGTTATAGTTACTGACATACTTACTATTCCACACGATTAAAACGCCCTCTATAGTCTAGAATACCGAATATCTTAGTAACTAACTACAACAGATTATAAAAATATAAAACAGAAAATAAAATCCCATTTGATCCTGGTTCAAATACAAACCTTTCATCCAATGACTTTGTGTAACCCAGGGACGCAATATAAGTCCACCCCAGAGTGCATAACTTTCGGGACACTATAAAAGCCCATATCAGTCATATGCTCTCACATAGAAAAAAGATAAGAGAAGAAGTTTTCGTAAGTGAATGTGTTCTTCTTCTAAAGTTCAAATGTACTCATATGTGATTATTCTTTTCGTAACTAAATGGAAATTATACAACTTTACAAATTTAACACATCTACTATAACCATATTTTTTCGGAGATATGAGTTAATTAATGAAAATGCCATTAATAATAATTAATTAATAGCTCACGACCATGATCAGCTGGGAGTCGGAAATTTGCACCACAGTTGAAGATAGGTGTTGTCTACTCACTGCGACACTTTTAGGCTTATAAACCAAAGCTTTTGCAAGATATGAATTTTTTATGATTAAGACAGTTTTTAGTGAAAATTCACCATTGAA